CTCTCCTTCTCCATTAGAGCCCTGGTTAAGTTTGAACCACCAGAAAGGCACAGCCGATAGCTTAGCAGTGGAACTCTCTACCCACTGTGCAACTAGAGTTCCTTAGTTAACAGTGCTTCTAAATCTTTACTAGCCATTGTTGAAAAAAAATTACGGAGTGGATACATCGCTGACTTTCTGTGATCAGCAGTATAGACTATTTTCTTGTTTCCTTTTATATTGCTGTTACTAATGGAAAATGTGGACTGATAAATAAGTGCACTTTCTTCAATTTTGCCTCCATTCTCAAGGAACTACAACATTCAAGGAAAATTATTTTCCTTTTTGAAGATCCTTAGTATGTTTTAACAAAAGAATGTCTCAAGTGGTGGTACAGAAGGCTGCCTATGAGTCATCAAAGAGGCTTGTTAAAAAGGCAAATTCTCAGGTCCCACCCCAGTTTGCCCAATCATTAGACATCCTTCCACTACACACACACATACACACACACACACACACTCACACACACTCTTTATATCGTTTACAAGCTTCTCAGATGTTGTTAATGGACATAAAAATGTGAAAACCACTGTTCAGTAGGCTTTATTAAGTGAAATATATTCATCAAAGTGATTCATGAATCAACCCTTGCCCTTAAAGAGTTTGTACTCTGATAGATTGATTGTTGCTGTTGTTGTGAGGAGCTAATAACGGCATAGAAATAGCTATTGGAGAGGACTAATGTTTGTTTTGATACCATTTAAAAATAGAAACTATTCCCAGATAGTGGAAGTAAAGAATCTTCTGCAGGTTTGATTTTTTAATTTTTACTATACTTGACTGTTTCTTCAATTCATTCAACAAACAAAAGCCTTCTTCTCATCTCTTTGCTAACTCATTGGATAATTTCCATGATTTATAGTATAGAGATTAAGGCAAAACTTTATGTGTTATTGAAGATTCCTGCATCTGCAATGCAGATATATGCACACCCATATTTATTGTAGCATTATTTTCAGTAGCTAAGAGATGGAAATATCTCAAGTGTCTAGCAGCAGACAATGACTAAAGAAACTGGTGCATTCGCACAATGGAGTATTATGGAACACAAAAGAACAATAAAATATTTGTAAAACATGAAGAACAAGGATGAATCTAAAAGAAATTATCAAGTGACACAAGTCACTCACAAAAGGACAATTATGAAAAAAGAAAAGGACAATTACGGCAACCCTCCCCTCCATTATAAAAAGATAAAGAATCATTCTTGAATGGTTACTAGAAATGGGAAGGGAGATGGAGGGAAGTAAACTTGAATAAATAGGTAATTTGGGTGAAGGGAAAGGCAGTATACAGTAAGAGGTTTATCAGACATTGCAAGTTATAATTAATGCTCTGAAGCAAAACATGGATGGATGAATCAAAAACCAATATGGTTTGTAAACTATCACTCAAAATTGTATTGCTTTTTAAGATAGAAGTGTAATATTACTATCCATAAATTACCAAGCATACTGAATACTTAGATGCTTCTTGTTTGTTTGTTTGTTTTAAATTGGGAATCACTAGAATTTATATGACATGGAACCAAGACTGACTAACCATTCCTTCAAGTTCTTCAGTGTAGTTATATGCAAAACTTTTCCCCCAAGTGCTTGTATGTAACACATTCACCTCTTCTTCAAAAAGTAACACTTTTCATTATGTTTATCATATAGTCCACTTAACTGGTTTGAACAAGGAAAGACCAGAACATTTATTAACTATGATATAGCAAGAATCATGCCAAGCAGAAGATGGCCAGGTGGTACAGTGGCTTCTGGCTGCTAAGCAAAGGGTTGACAGTTTGAACCCACCCAGTCCTTGGGAGAAAGACATAGTGATGGTGGGGAAAGCACAGTTCTGCTCTGGCTCTGAGGTTGATCTGAGGTTGATCTGAGGCACATTTGACTCACTGCCAAGATCACATTTCCAGTAAATGTACCAGTTCACAGAATTGTTTAAATCAAGAAAACATATTGTAGGTAGTGAGTGACCTTTATTGGCAGACATTTCAATACTTGTCATTTGTATGATTTGGTGGCAAAGTAGATTATGTGTTGAGCTGCTAGCCTAGAGACCAATATTCTGAATCAATCAGCCTTTGAGAGAGAAAGATGAGACTGTCTATTCCATCTATAAGATTTATAACTTTGAAAAGTTGATGGAGGGTTTCCATGAGTCAAAATCGGTTCTACAGCAGTGAATTTGGGGTGTTTTTTTGGGGGGGAAGGGGTGTGTATGTGTTGGAATACAGAGATAAAGTCAGTCTTTGACCTGTAATACAGAGATAAATAGTCTTTGACCTCATGGCACACATAATGTAATAAAAAATCAGGCATTTACAACATAGATAACCATTACAAGGCATAATACAAGTAAGTGAAAGGGCTCTGACATTTACTTTTACTATATTCTACATTTTCAGTATATTATCCCATAGCATGGACTGCTAGGAGAACAAACAGGTTCATTCAAGAGAGGATGAAACCAAACTGCTCCTTGGAGGCAAGGATTCGGAAGTTTCGTCTGACATACTTTGAGTGTGTTGCAAGAAGGGACCAGTCCTTGGAGAGGGACATCATGTTTGGGAGGGTAGAGAGACAGTACAAGAGAGAAAGACTCGATGAAATGGATTGGCTTAGTGACGAGCATAGGGTAGGTGTGTCAGAGATAGTAACGTTGGCACAGGATAGAGCAGGGTTCAGAGCTGTTGTACATAGGGTCGATATGAGTTGTAGATGACTCGACAGCACAAACAGCAATGACAACAGCAACATAGCAAACCTGTGAAGGGTTACAATAACTAGGAAATAGTGGTTCAGAGAAAGTGTATTACCCAGTTACACAAATAGTAAATAGCAATGCTAAGCTCTGTTTTGAAGTCTACATAAGTCCCAAGCCAGTTTTTTCTACCCTACCTATGTTTTCAGTAATTCCATGAGAATTCAAATTGCAGTCTCTTCATTCTGACACCTGGGAGGCTCTTGGGAGCTGCACATGATGTATTTAAGAATCAGTAGACTTTCCATAGACAGGAGGTTCACATAGTGCTGACAGCAGAAGTAAAGACAGAAGAATGGAAGGATGTGGGAATGGACGTTAGGTCATTTCCACTTAAGCATACAAGCTACGGAACTCTCTGGAAGGGCACCCAGAGCATTGAGCTCCAGAAGATGATGTCATGCCTCATGCTTTCACTAGATATAATGACAGTCAAAGGACTGGATTAATGAAATGTCTGTATTTTAAAAATACGCAAAACTTCACAGCTCATTGGCTATTAAGGAAGGAGGAGGGGCTAATATGAATCAAAGTCTATTGGGCGAATCACTGTGAGTTGTGCTGTTGAGACAAATAAAACAAAATAAATTACAAGATAAATCTCTTTAAGTAACAACACAAGTAATGTTCAGTTTTGCCTTAACTGTATTAAATTTATTTCCCCAATCGCTAATTCATATGGCATATGTTCTATGATTGTTATAAAGTATGTTTCAATCAATATTGTAGGAAATCTCTTTTTTCTTACAAAGAGTCAAAAAATTTGGTATTTATTCTCAAATATATGTATAAATATACCTATGAAAGGACTGGGGTAATATGTATCAAAATATTGCGTGTCTTCTTTTCTAAATTTTACATAGAACATGTTTTACTTCATAATCAGAAAAACAAATCACACCCCTCTTTAAAAAAAGCTGAGTAATTTAAACTTTTCACAGATGTAAATTTACACTTGTAATTTCCTTTCCATATCTACTGAAACTTTGTGTACAGAGTGGTCATTATATTTTCTGTTATGTATCTACCAAAATAATTTCCAGTGTCTTTTTCTTAAGAACTTGCCTTCTTCATTTTCTGTTTGTGTTTTTTAATTTTAATATTTAGTAGAATGCTTAAAGTATATATTTAGATCTTTGTGGCTTGTGACAAGTAGAACATTTTTCACTCTTCTGTACCTTGTACTTTTCTATTTATTATAAATGGTGATGCTTAATTCTTAAAATAGTTTAACAAGGACCTAAGGTGATCAGTAGGCATTTGATATTAAAAAGTGCTTGAATATTTTATTGTCCAGATTGCACCATAATACTTTTTTTCCTATTTAAACTTCACTTTAATTCATTAAAATCTACTTTTAAAAAATCTTTAAGAAGAAAAATGTATTAGAAAACATTTTCCCCTCCGGTAGTCTCTGACTTTAAAAAATTAATATTTAAAATAGAAGTTTCAAGAACTGATGTGTGAGTGTTCATTTAGGAAACATTTTTACTGTTAATATAAAAATCTTTTGTCATCTTTTTTGTATGGACTGTTGAGTGGCTTTTTGACTCCTAATGATTCCGTGTGGTGGCATAGTGAACTCAAGGCTGTAGTCATTATGGGAGCTCATCACCAAGTTTTAAAGGTAATTCTGTCATGGAAATTTTGACAGAGTAGACCAGTTTTCATTCGTTTTTTTGTTTAGACCACTTTTCTTTTGCATAAAGAACAACCACTTCTTAGGTACTAGAGCTCTGGTGGCTTAGTGGTAAAGAATAGCACTCAGTGCAAAAGTATGCAGTTCGAATCCACCAGTGGCTCCATAGGAGAAAAATGGGCAATCTTCCATGCGATTTACTGCCTTTGGAAACCTACTGGAGGGTCAGCTATAGGTCGGTTCTGACAAAATGGTACACAACAACCCAGTTGGTAGGGAGTTGTGCTGCTAACCAAAAGCCTGAGTGTTTCTTGGTTCAAACCCACCAGCAACTTTGTGGGAGAAAGATGTGCAGTCTCTTCCCCTGCACTTTACAACCTCTGAAACTCACTGAAGAGAGTCAGCTATGAGTTGGTTAAAATTACACAGTAATGAGTGAGAGTGAGCGAGTGAGTGTGAACGTCATCTTGTTCCAACATCAAATTAGGATTTGAATTTTAAGGTGTTCATGTATGATGTGCAGAATTAATAGAATCTTTTTCCCCCCCTTAACATTAAGGAAATACCAAAAAGGAACCAGAGTGCGGCTTCGGTTATTAGATCTTGAGCTTACGTCTAGATTCCTGGGAGCAACGACAGATACAACTATACTAGAAGCTGATGCCGTTCTCTTAGGACTCCACGACAGTAAAGACCTCGGTCAGAAGAGGGGCCTCATGAAGAAGAAGTGAACTTGACTTAGTGCTTTTGCTTTCTTTATTAACTCTGATACTCAATTAGCATGTAATAAGAAAGTTGTGAATAAATGATTAAAAGAAGAAATACAATAAATGAAGGCTATTACAGCTCTTGTTTTCTAGCATTTTCTTTCACTGCTATACCTTCCCCTTCCTTCCTTTAGTTGGTATAGTGTGAACTACACTAAGACATTCTTTCCCTCAACAAATGTTTTAATTTCCAATCTGTATGCATGACACCATTCTAAACACCAGAAAAACAGCAGTGAACAAAGAATTCAAAATCCCTTGTCCTTGTGGAGTCTATATTTGCCTGGAGAAATTGCACAATGTTGTTGTTGTTATGTACTGTCAAGTCACCTGCAACTCATAGTTACCCTTTGTACAATAGCTCTGAAGCCTACCCTATCCTTAGCCAGTCTCACTGACTCTGACATCCCTATCCTTATTGCCCCATTTACTGTAGCAATCCATTTTATCTGAGGTCTTCCTCTCCTACACTGTCCATCCACCTTTCCAAGCATAATGCCCTTCTCCAAAATATTGGTCCCTCCCGGCCAAGTGCCCTAAGTATGTGAGACAGAGCTTCAAAATCCTAGTTTCCAAGGAGACACTTGGTTTCACCCACTCCAAGACAGACCTATTTGTTCACTTGGTGGTTCATGGTATGTTATAGTATTTAAATAGACAATAAATAATATAAAATGTATATGATTGTTGTCAAATCAGAACTGACTCAGCTGAGCCTCCAGCAGGTTTTCAGGGTAAATTGCACAAGAGCAGATGTGTTTCTTCCACAGAGAAGCTGTTAGATTTGAATTATGTGTCTTTGGGTTGGCAGCGAGCAGCTCCTTAACTACTAGGCCAGAGTTCCCTAATGTTTCTTAGACAGTAATAAGTGCTAGGCAAAAAATAAACCAAGCAGTGTGAGTACAAGTTGTCAGAATGACAAGTTGGAATTTAGGTGTGGCAGCAAGGATCTCGCTGAAGATAGCTAGTCATGTACCTCTCTGGGGAAGAGTATTTTGATAGAGGAATGGTGAGTGCAAAGGCCCTAAGGCAGGACTGTAAACTTTCAGTTGTAGGAACAAGAAGGGGGCTATTACGCCTGAACTTCAAAGCAGAAGAGTTAAATGAGCTTGGAGAGGTGGAATAGACCCCAGTAAGGACTTTGATATTTATTCTCTCTGAGATGTGGGGTCTTTGGAGTATTCTGAGTAGAGGGGAAATGTAAGCGGCCTACCTTTTAGCAAATGCCTTTGAATGGATGGTGCAGATTTAAGATGAATAAAGACATGTGAGGAAACTTGCCGTAATCCAGGTCAGAGATGATGGAATTCTGGACCAGTGTATAAGTGATGAGAAGTACTGGATAAATTTTGATAAAATGAGATTTTTCTGACAGATATGGAGTGTGTATGACACAGACAAAGGCATCACGGATTTGGGCCCAGGAAACTGGAAGAATTGATTTGCCTCAGCTAACACAGGTAAGGGTAGAGTTCAGTGGAAACAAGCACTCCCTTTGAATCATGTTCCGTTTGAGATGCCTGTTGGCTCTTTATGAGCTCTGGTGGCCTAGTCCCTAGCGTGTTGTGCTGTTAACCAGGAGGATGAGTGTTTCTAGTGATTTGGATCCCTGGGCAACTCTTCAGGGAAAAGATGGGCAGCCTCCTCCTAATAAGATTTACAACCTTGGAGAAACACAATGGAGGATTACTGTGATTTGGCATCAACTTGATGGTAGTGAATTGAGCTTTTGGGAGATTTCTGTTTTAACTAGATAGCTAAGCGGAGATCTGCGAGCTTAGATGGAGAAAGTTAAGAATCACATTTTGATTGAAACTCAAGAAAATGAGACATTTAGTGAAAGTGCGTAAGGAAGTAGGGAGAGGTAAGAGGGATCTTCAAGGGCCTGTGTCTCAGGCTTAGTTCTCTAAAGAAGCAAAACCAGCTAAGCCTTTATTCATCTCACAGGGAGAGATTGATCGCAAAAACATGGCTCAAGCTATCTGTACTTTCTTCCTCCAACAGAAACAAGGCTCTCCCATATGCCCCGAATGTCTTGGAAGGAGCCTATTGTGTGTTTTTTTCTCTTTATTGTGTATCTACTTAAGAGTTTGTACTGCGGTTTCCAATCTGTTTCTCTTTCCTTTTAAAAGTTGTAATTTGCTAGGAATTCCTGTCATCGGGCTTTATGATGTTTTTATTCACTCGAGTGGAAGATACAACAATCTCCCTTACTACTGTCACCTCCAGCCGCCCAGCCACGTCCCCTTGCTCACTAATGAGCCCCGAATCTGGCTCACTATCTCCCTGAGCATCCTTACTTGTCACCCTCTTTGGTAACATCAACATTAAGCTGAATGAGTTAACTCACACTTTTAGCTTCTTTTTTCCAGTGACCTTGGCCACCTGCTCAGGTTACAATCCCTGCATAATAGATTGTCTCAAAAAGGTACTGGCAAAAAAAAAGGTACTGGCTTAAAAGAACAAACATTTCATTACACCTAACAAATCTTGTAGGTCTTCTTTGGTGAAATGTCTGTTCATATCCTGTGCCCATTTTTCTATTGGATTATTTGCCTTTATCTTGTTGTGGTGCTCAAGTATTTTATAAATTCTAGATATAAGACCCTTATCTGACATGTCATTGCTGAACACTTTTCCGAGTCTGTGGCTTCCCTTTTTACCCTGTTGGAGAAGTTTTTGGATGTGCATAGGGATTTGATTCTTAGAAGGTCCCATTCATCTATTTTATCTTCTCCTGGTTGTAAATTTTTCAGAATACTGGGAAGACTCTTTATGTTGTGGATTAGGACTACTAAAGTTTTTCCAAGCTTTTCTTGAATGAAGTTTATAGTCCTTGGTTTTAGTCCTAAGACATTCAGATGACCAACAAGCACATGAAAAAATGTTCAAAATCTCTAGCTCTAAAAGAGATGCAAATCAAAACAACTATGAGATATCATCTCACCCCAGTCAGAATAGCAAAATTTAACAGAACAGCAAGCAACAAATGCTGGCGAGGCTGTAGAGAAACAGGAACCCTTATTCATTGTTGGTGGGAGTGTAAAATGGTGCAACCACTGTGGAAGGCGGTATGGCGCTTTCTCAAAAAGTTGCAAATAGAGATACCATTTGACCCTGCAATTCCACTACTGGGAATATATCCCAAAGAGACCATAACTGACATTCAAGCAGATATATGCACACCCATGTTTATCGTGGCTCTGTTCACAATAGCAAGGAGTTGGAAACAACCCAGGTGCCCATCAACAAACGAATGGATAGAGAAGCTGTGGTATATCCACACAATGGAATACTGCGCTGCATTGAAAAACAAGGAACTCATGCAATATTATTCAAAATGGGCGAGCCTGGAGGACATTATGCAAAGTGAAAGATCTCAGTCACAAAAGGACAAATATTGCATGGTGCCACGGTTGTAAAATGGGATTGATATCAGGGTTGGGGTAAGACAGAAAAACTGGATAAATTGTGTATACTGCACTGAAACAGATGAGGGAGTGAATAATTTAAAAGTGATGTATGATAGGGTATTATGGTTATCACAGGAGTCCACAAGGTTGCATAGTGGAATGTACTTGGGGTGGTGGTAGGGGTGCGGGGGGCGGGGGGGGGGTGTGTACCAGGGAAGGAGTATTTATTTTGAAAGAGAGGAGCGAACTGGAGTCGGGGCTGGGCAGGGAGAGAAGTGCAGCAATGAATGAATGGAAATCCCAAATCTCTGTAAATGCTCATTAAAATTACTTAAAAAAAATAATCCAGACTGGGCTCACCTGAGCGATTTTATCCTCACGCCATCAACGGAGGTTGCTCAGATCCTCAGATGGCCGGTTTAGTAGGGTACAAGCCACGTTCACTCACTCTGATGGCATTTTGGCAGAGAAGGGCGTCTTGAAGGTTAGAGCCAGCTGGGACTGCCAACCAGAGCATAGACACATGGCTTCTTCTGCAGCACTGTGGTCTCAAAATAATTGACCTGCTTACAGGGTGGCTGGCGTCCCCCAGAATAATATGGTGTTTCAGATCCTACAACAAACCTATTGCTATTGTCAAAGGCTCACTATCAAAAACATACCTTGCAACTTCCTATAACACTAAAAGCTAAGTTTTAATCACTAAAGATACCAAGTATGCTAGCATGAATAATCACGAAAATAATCACTAAAAATGCATGTCTACTCAGTATTTGTAAATGTGACCTTATTTAAAAGTAGAATCATTGCTGATATAATCAAATAGACAATATAATGCTTGCTTTATTGTGTGTTGTTGAGTTGGCTATGGCTCACAGCAGCCGTACAAAGAACATATCAGGACCTTGCCCAGCATCCTATGCCAACCTCATAATATGCGGCATGTTCAAGCCCACTATTATAGTGACTATGTCAACCCCTCTTACTGAGGTCTTCCTCTCTTTCTCTAGCTTTCCAACTTTCCCAGCATGATGTCTTTTTCCCAAAGACTGGCCTCCTAAAAACATGCCCAGAGTGTGCAAGACAGAATTTCACCATCGTTGCCTCTAATTAGAGTGGATTCTAAATCTAATGACTCATGTCTTTAAAATAAGAAATTGGACACAGAGACAGACATGTAGGGGAAACACTATGTGATGACAGAAGTAGATATTACAATTAAACTCTCCTAAGTGAAGAGAACTTGAGCTGCTTGCTGCAGAAGATCAAAGACTACAGACTTCAATAGGAATAGGATCTTAACGTTAAGAAGACAAAAAGATTCACCACTGGGCCAATAAGCAACAACATGATGGAGAGAAGATGGAAGTTGTCAACAGTTTCATCTTGCTTGGATCCACAACCTGAGCCCTTGACACCAGCAGCCAAGAAATCAAGACATGTTGCATAGGGGAAATCAAGATATGCTACACAGGGTAAATCTGCAGTGAAGGAGCTCTGTAAGGTGTTAACGAGCTCTGATGCCAGTTTAAAGGCTAATGGACATCTGAT